AAAAAAAAAAAAAAAAAAAAAAAGAAGAAAATTTAACAAAGAATTGTCTAGAGTACATCAAAAATCTGGTGGTGTTTTAAAAATTTTGTCAAGCATGGTGGCTCGCACCTATAATCCTAGCACTTGGGAAGCTGAGGCAGGAGGATCAATGTGAGTTCAAGGACATCCTGGGTGATGTAGTGAGTTCAAGGTCAATCTGAACTACACAGAGAGACCATGTCTCAGAAAAAAAAAAATTGTCACTTTTCTGTAAGAAGATGAAGAATATCTCTATTGAAATATATGTAACATTTGATATTAATCAGCCCCTATTTCCAATTGAATACATTAATCAGCCAAAGATATTTCTTTAACATTATAGTTTTGAATTTAACTAAAAATTGTCTCTGTTCACATTCATCCATGTTGAGAGGTAAAAAAATAAAGGATATGTTAATCTGATTGCTTTAAATGCACAAAAATGTAATTATAAATCACATTACACTGCAGCCTATAAACGTGCAGCATTAGTAATTGATAATTAAAAGTAACATTAATGAAAAATCAAGCCAAAACCTCTTTCAAATCACAATTTAGATCTTGTTTATATAAAAATGAAATGAGTCACAACTAGTATGGGTAAAGAGCAGACATAGAAGATCATCCTTAACCCAAAGGCTGAATTGCACTGCCAATACTTTAATCCCCATTTACAGATCTGATGTCAAGAAAACTAGAAGTCACCCTAATAATACAATGTGATAGCCTTTGAATGTCATGGGATGAAGATATTTAGGTAGCTGTGTGTCAGAAGCCTTCCCAACAAAAGAGATTTTAAGACACCAGAATTGCTTATTATTGTCCTGTAGTCCCTATGGCATAGATGTGTGTGTGTGTGAGTGTGTGTGTGTATCAGAGATAAACCACTGAAGGAAAAAGAGGACACTAGTAAAGGATAAGGTTGTTCCCCTCACAAGCACAAGAAAATTCATAAACATACCCACAAATAATAAGAATGTACAGTAACCAATGAAAGACATACAATTGTTACAAGTTTTCTAATATAAAATCAGTATTTAATATAAGAAAATGTATGCATTATAGCAACAAACAAGAAAAACACTTGTACCGTAACCTAGAACAAAACCATTAACAAAGATTACAGGTTTTATGAAACCTGAAAAAGCTCTGAATTAGTGAAAATAATTCAGAATAATGAAAGACTGACACTTTAGAGAAAAATAACTTACTACTAAATATATAAAATATTTTAATTTGTAATGACAGTAAAAGATATAGATACATCAAAGTTCAGAATAGAATGGAATTAATATGAGAAAATGAAAAATAATGGAAACAAGTCTCTGTAGATAGGGAGTGTGGGACCCTGACCACTGTGTAGCCCCTAGTTAGTCAGCATATAGCAATACACATTCCTTTCTGCTCTGCTTCCAGATAAGATTAAAACAGAGTGTATGTGAGCCTGGTACGGGTAAACAAGATAATGACTCAAGGCCTCCTCAGAACAGACCATCCTGGGGTCTAGAATAATCAATGTAAGAGACCAGGTGTGCCCTAATCCCGACCCCCTGAGATAGATACAAGAAAACTGACCCCTGACCCCTTGCTCACTTGCTGTGCTTACAATCCTCTCCCCCTTACCTTTAAAAACTGTGCAAACCCCTGAGCTGGCACCTCTCTGAGCTACTTGGCTCCAGGAGTGCTGTCTGGCCAGACTAATAATGATCTGCTTACCATCTAGCCTGGTGTGTTCCTTCCTGGGTGACTTTCATTCCTCCATCAAGCTCCCGGAGCCTCGCTGAGCTATAGGTCCCAGCATCTTGGAGGCCCTATGGGCTGTTCAAGGCTCCCAGAAGTAAGGCCCTGGATCTTGCATCTGGAGCCCTTGCTGGGCTATTGGACTCAGCATCATGAATGCCTTCAGGCTATTCACACTCCTCAGAGTAGAAATGAGACTTTAGGTCTTACAGGAGGAAGAGAGGGGTTTGAAGAGAGGGCAGGGGAATGGGGAAATAATAAGAACCAAGATTGATTACGTAAAGGTACAGATTTCCAGCAATGAATGTCATTATATTGTATACATTAAATATACCAATAAAATTAATTTTTTAAAAAAGTTCAGAATAGAAAAAAGAGAAATGACATATATATATGTGTGTGTGTGTATCTATATATATATATACTTTTACATGCATATTTTTTGTTTTATCAAAACAATTTCATTGAAAATCAGTAGATATATACCTATGTAGAGATATAAGAAATTTTAGGAATAATGACAGAAACATTATCAAACTTTGGAGTTTTTGAAAGGGAACATTTATTTCAACCTTTTAACATTGAATTCAATTCTAATTGTGTCTTACTGTGTTTTTAATGGACATCACTTAATGCCCTGTTGTGGCTGAGTGTGATGAGATGCATCATATAATACAGAATGAATGGAAGTGTCTCCCTACTTCTTGCCTTGAAAAGGAGAAAGTAAAAATAAGAACAAAAGAATTCTATCTTCCCACTTTCAAAAGGTGAAAAAGAAAACAGGAGAAGCCAAATATATTGTGGCCAGGTAGCTCTGGAGGGGGGAGGAGCTCCGCAAGGCTCCCATGCACCATGGCCAGCAGCTTCTATGCACCCCTCACTCCACCAAGATGCCCAAGAGGAAGGACAGCTCCACCAAGGGGGCTGCAAAGGAGGAGCCCAAGCAGAGATCGGCGAGTTTGTCAGCTACAACTGCTCCTGCAAGAGTGGAAATGAAGCCAAAAAAGACAGCAGGAAAGGATAAATCTTCTGACAAAAAAAGGCAAGCAAAAGGGAAAAGGGGGCCAAAAGGAAAACAGGCCAAAGTGGCTAATCAAGAAACTAAGGGAGATTTACCCACAGAAAACAGAGAAACTAAAAATGAGAGTGCAGCCTCTGATGAAACAGAAGAGAAAGAAGACAAGTCTGATTAGTCACACACCGCGTCTTACCAGTGCTCCCTGTCTCCCTTCTTTTTTTTTTTTTTTTAATTGAGTTTATTGGTACATTTAGGGATACAGTACAGTTACATTCATTGTTGGGATCATGTACCTTTACATGGCAAGTCTTGATTCTCATTTTTTTCCCCTTACCTCTGCCCTCCCTTCACCCCCTCCTCCCCTCCCCATCTACAAACACTTTATTTTCATCTTTTCATTCTCTCACATTTTTTTCTTTTCCCTTTTTGTTCTTCCCCTACGTATCACACCTTCCCTACACCTTTAGCTCCTTTCCTCCCATTTCTAAATGTCAGTAATCTTATTAGAATCTTATGCTTTGTTGCAGAATATTCACACCAGGGAAACTATTTGGTATTTACACATGTGGGACTTATTTATTTCACTTAGGAGTATATCTTCAATATGTATCCATTTTCCTATGAATGAATCTATTCTCTCGCTCTTTATGGCTGAGTAATATTCCATTTTATAGAAAAACCACAACTTCTTTATCCAGTTTCCAACGGATGGGCAAATAGGTTGTTTCCAAGATTTAGCTATTACAAACTGTGCCGCTATAAACATGGGTGCACATACTTCTCTGTGATATGATTCTTTTAGTTCTCTTGGAAAGATACCCAACAGAGGGATGGCTGGGTCAAATTCCTAGCCCCAACTGTGAATAATGTGAGTTAATGGGCAAATGCTTAAGAGTTCTGGAAAATGAGATAAGATCTATGCCATATACAGAGACCCAAAGTTAATTGTTTTACTGTTTGCTTGTCCAAAATGCCTTAGAGACCACTGTAAGCATCTTTTAATCATCAGCTTGTGATTGCTGAGTATGTGGCTGCTGACCACCAAGCAGACCAGTAGCCTTTATCCCCTGCCTCCAGGCTTTGAATGTTAAACCCCCCTTATCCCACTTATAAAAAGGGCCTCAGCCCCTGAGCTAGTGCCTCTCTGAGCTACTCAGCTCTGGGAGTGCTATCTGGCCAGACTAATAAAGGTCTGCTTCCTTTCCAATGTGTCCGGTGTGTTCCTTCCCAGGTGAATCTCATGGCTGTTGAGCTCTTTGGAAAGGTAATTTTGAACTCTTTGGAGTGGTATTGAGCTCTTAGGAGTGGTAGTAAGGCCTTAGCTCTTACAGTTTTTAGTAGAATTGTTTCCTAAAGAAAATGACTTTCTGATTGTTTCCCCATCAGAATCCTGTGTGCTCTGTAACATCTGTTTTGGTCATGCTAGCCCAGTTTGCCTAATTTGGTAATGTGCTGTGAAAGATCAAAAATTTGAGTATGTAGTGTATACGATAACGCAGTTGTGAACAGGTGAGACTTAAGTAACACTTTATCAGCATTCGAAGATACTGGTACTTAATCCTCTTATGGAAAATTTGCCTCCAAATTTGAAGCTGGAAAGTCACTGGAATAACAGAAAAAGAAACAATACATAGTTTTTTAAATTTTCGGTATGAGTGTTACAAGATGTGTACAAAGTGAAGTGTCTGTACTGATCCTTAACACAACCAATAATATCTCAAACACAGAAAAAATACATTGTGGCCAATTCTTGGTAAGTATGGGTAGAAAGGACTAGATATGGGTACAGAGAATATTGACCTATCAATAACAGACCCTCTAGGCAGTACCCATTCTGATGATCAAGCATAAAATGAACAAATGAAATGATACTTACAGCAGGACAATGAAGTCCTTGCTAGGCTCTATATTTTTAATACATTTCACTTTATTTATTTTATTCTATTTTATCCCATTCCCCCCATAGAGCTGAATCTGAATTTTATCAGGTCCCCAGGGATCCACTTGTGCATTAAGATAAAGAAACTTCTCTGTAAACTAAGAAAGTATTTCATCTTTCTTTTTTAATTTTTAATAAATTTTGTTTTATCCCATTTCCACCTCCCTTACACCCACTCCCTATGTACAAAAGCTTTGTTTCCATTTCTTCCTTCTATTTTCACTCCTTTTCTTGTCCCTTCCTTCCTTTGTCCCTCCCTTCACCCTTGTTCCCATACCCATTTGAACATTTTCTTCCCATTTCCCATTATGTATTATACATTTAGTTCTTATTCCCACTTTTGGTTTCTCACACCACAGAAACAATACAATATTTAAACATTTGTGCCCTATTTATTTCACTTAAGAGTATGGTCTCAAGGTCCATCCATTTAGCTATAAATGAAGCTCATCCTTCTTAATGGCAGAGTAATACTCCATGCTATAAAAAAAAAACCTTCTTTATCCACTCATCAATTAATGGGTATTTGCACTGTTTCCAATATTTAGCTATTACAAACTGTGCTGCTATAAACACGAGTACGCATATTGTAAGACCTAAGTCTCACTTCCACTCCATGGAGTGTGAACAGCGGAAAAGGCCTCCACGATGCTGGGTTCTAAAACCCAGCGAGGCTCCAGGAGCTCAACGGAGGAATGATAAACCCAGGAAGGAACACACCAGGCTAGATGGTAAACAGACCTTTATTAGTCTGGCCAGATGGCACTCCCAGAGCCAAGTAGCTCAGAGAGGCCACTGCTCAGGGGCTGAGGTCCTTTTTATAGAGTTTTTTTAAGCAAAAAGTCAGGGCATTCACAGAACTACCAGAGGACAAGATTCCAAACATGTTGCTTATCTTATGCAGGAAATGTTCTATGGTCACCTTTTGTCATACCATTTGCCCCTGGCTGAGCTGTTAACCAAGTTAGCAATTAACATATGAAGAAACACAATCTCTGGCCTATTAGCATGGAGTCACTTTAGTTCATTTAAGAAGTCTTACAGAAGTACCTTTTCATTTTAGGTGCTCATTTTTAATTGGGTCTTTAAATTTAGAGGGTCTAATTTTTTTTAGTTCTTTTTATATTCTAGATAATAATCCTTTATCTGTGGGACAGCTGGTAAAAATTTTTCCCCACACTATGGGCTGTCTCTTTACTCTGTTAGTGTCTTCTCTGTGAAAAAAGCTTTTTAATAAGAAGAGGTCTCAGAAATTGTAGTATTTCCCCTGCAGTCTGGGTTTTAGGTTTTATAGAGTTAGGATTATGGCTTGAGTTTGGGTTAGGGTTAGGGTTAATAGTACCAGTCAAATACAAACTGGCATAAAGGGATGGAAAAGAACCCAATCGCCACATCTCCATCCTTGTGCACATTAGTGTCTCTTTCAAGAAGGCAGTCTTCATTAGCTGAATTACACATTAAAAGAGGAAGCTGCAGAAGAAGCAAAATGATAATGAAAGGGAGTATCTTGAAAATGTCTGCAAAAACTTAAGTCTGAGAGAAGTTGGAACTTGCACTGTTAGCCAGATAAATACATGGTATATCATGTGGGTATCTATGTATACATTACTGTTTGGATTGGGATGAATGCTTTAACATCACTGATTTCCTTCAGCCAATCTTCCTGATTGGATTTGTCACAATCTTCCTGAAGGATTTGCCAATTTTCCCCTGGAGCCCTACTTCTGAGGTCTGATGTTAAAACATCAGTGGGAAGATGTTTGAGGATCATTTTCTCTACCTCCAGGCTCTATGATCACATCTCAGCTCACTGTTAGCAAATTCCCAGGCACTCTCTCCCCATGGGCAGATTTTTTCCAAGCAAGTGTCAATAGGCCATTTCCATGGATGTAATGAGGGATAATGCAAATTGTTTACAATAGAGGATTCAATGTAGGTGTTTATTGAAATTATCTGAAAAGGCCCATACTCAATGTCTTAGTTACTTTTCTCGGTGCTGAGACAAAATACTCAACCCTCAAAGTTTAAGAAAAGGTTTATTCAGCTCACAGTTTGTAGAGGTTTCAGTCCATAGTTGGCTGGATCCAAGGCAGGCTGGCATGGCAAAGGAGAAACAGTTCATGGCAGGCAGAAGGCAGCAAGGCAACAAGAAGTGAAATAACAAAGCAGCAAGTGACAACAGCAGCTTCTTTCTGTTCCTTATATCCTACAGGCTACCCACCCTTAGGGCAGGTAGCACTCACACCCAGAGTGGGGCACCTTTAATCTTAGCATCACATCATGGACCCTTCCCTGCATCACACACCCTAAATCCAGCCACCTCTGAAAAGCCTTACCTATGGCCACATGAGGCTTTGGGGGGACATCTAGATGCAAACCATAACACTCAGTCAAGTACTTTTGAGCATTATGTCTTCCAAGCCTAAGGTATAGAGTTCTAGCCTTTCATATCCAAGATTCAGTATGGCCACAGAGCATTCCCTGTGTAGACCATGCTTCTTTGTGTACTAGTCACATATGATGATACTGTAAGACTTAAAGTCTCACTTCCACTCCACGGAGCATGAACAGCTGAAAGGGCCTCCATGATGCTGAGTCCTATAGCCCAACGATGGCTCCGGAGGCAAGACCCAGGGCCTTACTTCCAAAAGCCATGAACAGCCAAAAAGGCCTCCATGATGCTGGGTCCTAACACCCAGCAAGGCTCCGGGAGCTTGATGGAGAAATGAAAAACCCAGGAGGGAACACACCAGGCTAGATGGTAAATAGACCTTTATTAGTCTGGCCAGACAGCACTCCCAGAGCCAGGTAGCTCAGAGAGGCAACTGCTCAGGGGCTGAGGTACTTTTTATAAGGTTTTTCTAAACAAAGAGTCAGGGAATTCACAGAACAAGACTGCAAACACATTGCTTATCTTATGCAGGAAATGTTCTATGGTCACCTTTTGTCATACCATTTGTCCCTGGGTAGGCTGTTAACCAAGGTAGCAATTAGCATATGAAAAGCACAGTCTGGCCTATTAGCATGGAATCACTTTAGCTTGTTCAGGTCTTACAATACTCCCAGACATGTGAGTTTCCCATTGTTTGGGGAACTAGTAATTATACTAAATCAATAAATTCCTGGGCTGGGGATTTAGTCAGCAGTTTGGTGGCCTTCCTTGCAAGCACAAGGACCTGAGTTCAATCCCTGCTACAAAAAAAAAAAAAAAAAAAAAAAAAAAAAAAAAAAAATCA